TAACATAACCATCTGCCTCCTTCTTTAACACTAGACGCATTACCTTGCCGTTTATACCTTTTTCATTATCGTTAATCTCAATTACTTGACATTTATATTAGTTAACACCATACTGTTGATTCTACACTTGATTGTTCCCCCTTTTGGTGGTTGCGCCCCTTTTTTGGTTTCCCCTAAACCCCTTTTAATTGTTTAAATGTCCTATATTGGTCCCGCGAAGAGTGACATTATCTCGCTGCTCCCGGACTTGGAAACTTTGTGTGTAAGTGTACTATTTATGTTTCTCCTAATCTTCAATTACACAACCGTTCTCAACTCTCCGATACTGTTATCAATTTAAGGGAGATCGCGTCTACTCAAGTTTAAAAAGTAAGAGCCAGGCCGGCCTTAAGCATCTGGCTAATTATAGAATCCGAATATTCTACAAGCAGTAACAGTAATATGAGAGAAAATGCCCTAATAAAGGAAACGAACTTGACTAATACCGAGTTACGTTTCACTACGGAATAACAGCAGAAGTGATGTCTGGAAAATGAACAGGATGTACAACGACTACAGAAGCTAGTCACCTCACGAGGTTTTGAGAAACCCGAAAGCTTGTCAATCTAAAAGTGTCGGCACATGAGATACTAAGGCAGACGGATTAGTGCCGCTGGCCACTAACGGTACAATACTGTGAGATAAAATAATGACTCGCAAAGTTTCCCAACAAACGACAAACTACCTGCCATTTTCGAGACTGAATAAATTGATTTGCAGCGGCAGTCGCGTAACAGGCTGCTCTCGGGTCAAAAAATTATCTTGTTCTTGTCCCCATATATTAGACTGAAAAGGTTTGACCAGACGAGGTGCCGATATTGGAACACCGGCTTATAATGGAAGCGGGTCCGATGCCGACCGCGGCATCGCGAGTTGTTTCATGCTATGACAAAAAATTTCGCGGTCCCCAGTGGAAGGATAAACTAAACGAGAAGGATAGGGTGGTAGTGCAGAAAACACTGCAAGATCATACCTTCGCTGAGCTGAACAACAACGTCGATCGCTCTCAAGCCGAGCAATAGTGCGCAGACTGGGTAGGTAGTCCTGAGAGGTCTCGCGCAGACCGAGCGCTAGTGGCACATTTGGGTTCTGGCGCATACTGTCCATAGAGGAGAGGCTCTGGGAAGCAGTTGTTTTGGCACAGCTGAAGGGAGGAATTTTTTGTTAAAAAATACCAGCTTATGCGGTTCACCTGAGTCGTTTAATAGATTGAGATGAGGGGATTAGTTGTAGAAGAGGGATAAATATTCCGCTTTGTATATAAAGTTTACAAGTTGACGTAAATGATATATAAAAGCTCAAACACGCATTTGGATGCAGTTGCGCCATAGGGCAGCATAAAATCGGCGAGGCACGTGGGTCTTTGTTGGTCTCTGTAGGAAACCACCTGAGCACGGAAAGAAAGGGGACATCGAACAGGGCGTAGATTTAGCCGTAAGATTTTAATAAACAGTACATCGCTGCTATTGGTAAAGAGGAGGAGAGAGCGTAGATCCGGATCAAACAGCCGCTGCAAATAGAGTTCTAGCTATTAAACCAAAAAGTGGAGCCCCACACGTCTGAATGTACACCTGTGGTAGTAGCCAGGGGGATTAGTTGTCGGTTTAGCTACTTATGATTGTCTAATGGCTCAAGATCGTTTACACGCGCAGAGG